AGAGGCAGAGTTAGTCTGTGGTTGTGATGGTTGGTTTGTTGTTGGAGTTGATGAAGTTTGTGGTGATGAGGGAGAAGTTGGTGGAGTTGGTGATGAAGGTTGTGAATCTGCTTCTGGTGTTTGTGAAGTTTGTGATGCTGGTTTTGGTGTTACTGGTGATGAGTTTCCTTCTACTGGTTGTGATAGACTTTTATCTCCTTGTGATGACACTGTTGCTGCACTTCCTTGTGATACTGTTGCTGTATTTCCTGAAGTTACACCCTCTTTTGCTCCTTGTGATGATGTTGTTGTTTCAGCTATCAAATGTATATTATTATGAATATACTGAATGGTATTAGTCAACCGATTATATGTTTGATGTTGTGTATTTTCATCATCGTTATATTTATTCTCATGTTTATGTTGTTTAGTTCTTGTTGAATCAATCATGTTATCTTCACGTTTATTATCATCTTTATTTCCTTGTTCATTGTATTGTTCAGTCTCCAATCCTTTACTAATTACAACAATTAATATCAATAGAATCGTTGTTTATTTCTAATTAGTTCTTCTCTTTAAATATATCACACTAACATACTTCTATTTCTCTATTGTCAATTCATTATTTGAATTTGAATTGAAATTTATTTGCCTTCTTTGTATTTTGTGTTTATATTATCATTGTATATCATTCATGACTTGATGAAATGTTAAAATGTCATAATTCTTTCATCCAACTCTAAAAATATTCTATTCTTGTTGTGTATTTTTATTTCAAACAAACAAAATATTATGATTGGTTAAACTTATCATTTTATTATCATATTCATATTTCTTATTCTTATATTTCTTATTTGATGATAATCTTATTTATAATACAATGAATTTGTATGATTCTGATTGAAAACAATACTAAATAATATATTAAAACATCTGTATTAATTTATATTCAATTATCAAATCATCAATAACTAAAACACAAATGTTATTCATGATTTATCAGAATTGAAATTTAAAATAATCTTAATTCAATATATATTTTGTACAACAAATCTAACTGAATAATGAATATATTAATGATTATTTATATACACAACTTATTTTCTATTTGTGTATTACCAAATTATTTCAATTATATTTAATGTTATAATGTATCAATATGTTGATACAATCATATATTCATTTCAAAATATTTATGAATATTATATTACAAGTATTTCATATATTTATTGTTATTTTTAAAATGAATAAAACAACAATATCGATAAATATGACAATGAAATATGAAATAAGAGTAATACAATAATATTATATGAATGATAACACAAAATAACATAATAATGTGAAAGAAGAATATATAAAATCAAATTAATTATCAAATATACTTCAACATACATTTAATGATTTTAATGAATGACAAAACATAATACTAAATTAAATAATTAAAACATAATCCAATAAAATAATAATACATAAAATGAAATGATATAAAAAATATAAAATAATATAATAAATCTAAAGAAAGAGAAATAAAGAAAATAATAAATAGACTAAATAAAATGAAAAGAAATATATAAATAAATAACCAAATAAATAAAGTGAAATAAGAAGATAAAGAATGAAATAT